CCCCGGGCGACGAACACCACAAGGAGGCGGATGTGCGCGCACGATGCGGCTCTCTCGCCGCTGGCACCTCCAACCTCGCTTTGGGCCCGCAAGCGCTGCTGTCGCTGGCGCATCGGAGAAAGGTGCGGGAGACCTGGTTTACAGGCAAGATTTTCCCAGAAGCACACCACGCATATGGCGACAACCCCATCCGCATCGCCCAACATCCCGCCATCATTCGATCCACGGCCTGTATGGGGATGCTCCACCACTCCGTCCCTGGCCCATTCGAATTGTTAGATAGCCGTCTGGCCCATCAGAACAAAGCAGCCGTTGAGGGATCTCACCAGACGATGCGGCTTTACGCCATGACCTCATGCAACCCGGCCATCGACTGCATCTGCCATGGAGCATCAAACCATCCCGGTTAACAAACACACCTGCGGTTTTCTTCCGGCCAAGCACGGACGTTTCGCTTGCTCTTCGAGCATCGTCTGCTAGTTTAGAGACGTATGTCAAATAAATCACCGTGCAGTGATCCCAGACTGTGCCGCTTACAGCAACGCGTATGTCCGCCATGAATCAGCCAACATCGCAGGTGCCACCCATCAGCAGGGGTGCGCCTCAGCGGGGCACCGGCCAGAATCGGTCTCGCTGGAACTAGACGAGTAGCAAGGATTGGAAAATACGTACCTTTGTGTGGCGATCGCGCACTGCAGAATCGCTCCACTGTCTGATGCGCTGCCGATCTCCCCTTTTGGCAGGAGCTGTGGAACGACGCCAGCATCGATATCATTGGTCGAGCAGCCGGATGGAGCTAGGATGTTGTCAGCTTCTCAAGGTCCTAAGGGCCAGTCAGGACCTTGTGTACGGTACATGCCGTAAGCGATTTTGATTGATCATTCTGCATGGCTGAGGTAAGGGAGAACCTCAACAGTGAACGGCGCAAACCGAGATCCTTGTTGTCATTTGCATTACACGCGAAATGTGTAAGGGTTTTTCCATTGTAAAGGCACAGTATGGCCAACGGGGGCACACCACAACGTCAAACGTGTACCATATGCGTTTCGAATAAAGAAAGCAGGGCAAACTTAGATGTCCAGGGTTTATCATGTCGTACGAAACTAGATAATTTCTTGGTCAGCGCATACCCAGCACGACGAACCCTAGCAACAGATTTTATCCAAGATGGAAGTTCAACCGGAAGGCTGACAACGACACGTCAGTAACAATCAGGAGAAGAGAAATAGACACGTACCCTCCAAATCCTCCCTGTCGCAGAGGGTAGTCAGATCGATTCTCTGCATGTGCATACAGCATGTTTTCAGGCTTTGCCAAAGTGCACTAGAAGTGACGCCACGCTTCTCTCCGGCGCCGCTCTGATCAGCCACGCTGTCGCTGTCTTGCAACAGAAGAGCGTCTAGAATGTTTTGAGCCGCTTCTTCGTATCGCTGCAAGGGCTGTCAGGGCGGGGATAGTTAGAAAGGAGACGAAACACGTACTCGCAGGTTGATGCATGATATTCCCAGATTAAACCTGTGTGGACGCGACGTTAGTTCCTACGGCTACAAACCTTACAAAGACAAGCACCTGGCACGGATGTAGGTAGGGTTCAACTCCAACGCTCGGTGATAATATTGTAGCGCTTCTTCCGGGTGGCCACTATTTGCGAGAGTGGCGCCCACTCTGTTGTATAGCAACCAGTCCTACAGCGCGCCAGTTAGCTTCATCTATAAATGAACTGCACAATGTCTGACCTCTGGGCGCACGGCCAGAGCAGTATTGAAACAATCCCGCGCTCTCTGGTAATCCTAAGGGATCGCAATTTATTAGATTATCGTGACCTGTTGATAAATGAAGCGAGCGGGAGATACCTCAGCTGTATTGAGGAGAACAGCCAGTGCTATTTGGATATCAGCGTCAATCTCGGTGCCCGCAGCACTGCGCGCCATGTGTATCAAGCACTGTGTCAAGTTCTCCAGACGTTCTAATGGTACCATATCATCCGTGATAGGATTCAATGCTCGGAACTGCTGAACTGCAGAGTGATAGCGTTCGTTACGATCAACCCATTCCCGTACTGCTTCGTAAACACCTTGGCGGTTGGCCTCGTTGGTGTGAGATATCGCAAGAGCAAGCCACGATGATAAATGCGAAGGGTCGAGCTCCAATGCGCGGCGTAGAGCTTGCACTGCTTTCTGCTCGCGCTCGTTTTCTTGCTGCTTAACACCCAATTCATACCAACGGAGAGCATTGGTCGGATCACGTTGTACCGCAGCCTCAAGCTCTAAAACGTTCTGCGCGAATATCCTCAGCTAGATCAATACATCCAAAGAGTTTGATATACATACTTCGAACAAAGCAGTCCTTATGCTTGTACGCGACACGTCGTCCGTTCTCGAGGCCTCTCCAAGGACATATGGGTTATGCGCTTGGAACCGGTAGTGGGCAAGTGGGCGGACTCCAGTAGCAGTTGCCTCGTAGACGTCCCAGTCGCTCTGGAGCCTACCCCAGTCCGCGTCTTGTCCATGAACGGCGACGTTGCCCTTATTCGACGCCTCTGAAACTGAATGAAAAACACGCTGCAATTCGATGTAGTCCTCGTTCTCACTACGTAAGTAAGCGTCGATTGGATTTTCCGTAAAACCATCGATCACTGCATTTGTCTCATTGAAGATTTGTCCATCCCGGGTCATCGGTATTGCAGCTTGAGGTCGATAAGAGGCCGTCGTCTCATTAGAGATACCAGAGAGAGGCGAAGTGGGGAGTGCACGACCTTTGCCCTTTACGTCGGTGGTACCCTGAGAATCGTTCGTCCATCCAACGGCGGCTGAATCTGACCGCGCAGACTCCCTGGAAACCATTTTGTCACCTTCAACGACCACCTCTCCATCGCGCAATTGGCGCATTAGCCCTAAAAATTGACTGTTCTTGAATTTTGGGTTCGGTTCTTCCCGCACTGTCTCCATCAAGCGACCAGCAGTGCGTGCAAGCTCATCTGCATCATGGATACGAGATTGAGTCTGATCCTGCTGAATTTGTTCCAGCGGTTGAGCAACAGATTCCCCTGGATTCAATGAGGCCACCTGAGATTCAAATTCCCGGTCCCACTGTGATGCTTCATGAATTCAAAGAGCGGTGAGAACAGACTAGATGCTACGTAGTATGTGCGCACCATCAGAACTCAACGCAGCTCCGGGCGTCTGAACAGGGGTGTGAAATGCTGGCCCAGCGACTCCCATGAATCCGGCAGCATTGTACCCCATGGACATTGGGGTCCAACCGCGAAGATCTAATACATTTGTCAATTTTCACTCAAGAGGGACGAGAAAGCACATACTGGGTGCCAGACCATTTGGAGAAAACTGTTGCGGACTGTGAGTACTTGAACTCTGGGTTGGCTGTATCTGTGTAGAGGCGCTAGCCCCGTGCACGGGGAGTGTCTGTTGCTTCGAAGGTTGCGACAAAAAGTCTACAGCCCAAGCCGCAGATGAAGACTGTATGGGTATATGCCTTTGAGGAGTTAGTGCGGCCAGCGACTGGGAATGCGAGGTGGGCAGCGATGCGTGCAACGCGTTCAGGTCGAATGGCGCAGAACCATTCGCAAGAGGCGGAGCCGAATGACTAGAGAAAAATCGCGCTGCGTCCTGGGAGACATCTGCTGCTGCAGAGTATTGCGAGCGGAAAGACTGAGGGGTTGTCAGACACTCCATATGAAACAACCATACCTGCTCCTCCTCACCTCTCTCGAAGGACCAGCTCTCCCAGCACCAAAATGATCCTGTTTTAGAGTATTGAGAATTTGCAAAATCAGAGTGCGTTCACGCTGTCGAGCACTGCTACTGACCTGCTGGATGCCACGATCCTGGTCAAACCGTTTGGACAAGCCCTGCAGGGGATTCACAGGGCCACAGTCCGCACCATTAACAAGCAAAGGCAGCGACATCGTGGGCCCTGAGAACAAGCAGCGAGGGCGCAGGGGATGCACAGAACTGGTTATATAGCAAGAAGCTGCAACTTGCCCCGAGACTCAATTCAGCCGGTCTTGGTCGCCGCGCGGGGATTGTCATGTGAATCTCCCCTTCGGCAATCTTCGGCAACCACCGAGCAGAAAGATTCAGATAATTTAAATTCGTCGTGCAAATGTGAAGTCAATGGTGAATCTTGCGGGATGCAAACTATATGATAGCTGCATTGACAAAGGTAGAGCGAAATAATGACGTGTCATATCCATAGCATCTATAGAATTAGACACAAAATTTTATAGTCACACGTAGCGGAGGTACCACGGCTATGTATGAGCACACGATGAGACTCGAGTTGGGACAGAGAAGTCAACCCGTGGAAACGCCATGATATCGCGGGGTTATTTCAATGGCACGGCGCAGCCTGGTGACACCTTGGGGATGGTTTTCTAGGACTTCACATGGCGGCCGATACCTAGTCGTGCATCCATTGAATATGAAATGATGCCGACACTATCCGCAAGAACCACTTACTCAATCAAAACAGCGGGGTACCAGACATGCGCAGCCAACTCTCGCGAGGATTGAACAGAACGGATATTGAAAAGGAACAGAGTGTCAAAAAACATGCCTGGTAGAACTACGCGACAGCGGAATCAGAAATGTCATACATATCCAGTCCATGTCGCCGCATGAATGAAGTGAGTGCCAGGAGACGACGTCAGATGCGAGCGATATATAGAAGCAAGTCAGGCAGCCAGAAACAGCACGACGACCAAGATAAAATTTCACCACAGCAGAAATGGAAGCATGGCTAGCGACATCAGATCTTCACTGAGGTCGACATAAATCAAAGGCACGGGGGATCTTTCTATGGCAAGGGAAGCCTTTTGATCCAGACGTTCCGTGTATTGCCACAGAAACTATGTTCATCTTCGCGACATATTGGCGTAGATCCACTGGGCCATCATACATAGGTACGGTATTCCAACCTTGGACATCTTCAAATGGCAGACGTTAGGCAGGAATACTACACTTGAAATACGGTCCACATTTGCCACAGATTATATGTCTTTGCGGCCATTTCTCTCTAAATTGCGTAAATGACAGGTATACATCTATAGGGAGGTTCCTACTGCCACAATCAAATTTACAGCACAGACCATCAGCGCCATCCCAACCAGAAATTCAACGACTCACTTTCTGGACACTGTCCACTCTATGCTCATAACAGCCCCAGTCGTTGTTCTCGAGTCAGAGCCTCTCTCTTCCTCCGTGCGTCCTCCGTCGCAACAAATGGTTGGGGAGGTGGTAATCCAATCAGAGGGCTGCTCTGCCTCTGGGCCATCATCGCCGCGAGCGACTCGACCCCGTCTGCTTCTGCCCTGGCCTCCCTTCGCTTTGCGACCGCGTCGCGCACCTGCTGTACATCTGTGTCGCACATATCGATCAGTGTTGGATTCCTACGAATCATGGTGAGGGTTGTGTGCAGTTGATTTGGACAATGGCGAGCTTTGCGCAGCGGGGTTATGGGCGGCACGAGGACAAGCCTGCGCCGCAGGCGCGCAGACGTCCTGACACGTCTGGCCCGCGGCTGCGTCTCCGGCGTCTCACACAACTTCATCCACTTATTCACCGTCGCACGCAGGGCATCTGTATACTACACCCCGTCTACTATACCTATTCTACCCACTTCTCTCACTTTGTCTGGAACGAACAGAGATGGAGGCTCTCATGCGCGTAACTGATACCGTCAGGTCTTTCCGGGTAAGTTCAGTATTCCATTCGTACTCATCAGTTCGGCCTTGAACAATGCGACTCTGTCTACAGGAGTCTCGATTGAGTGCTCTCCGGCCAGTCAGCGAGTTTTTTGACCACCACCGTATTTCAAAACCTGCGGATATGAATACCGCCACTTCAGTAAGTTCATCACGCTTGGAGCCCTGCACCCACGGCGAGACTGACTATTTGCCGCTCATCAGAGAATCTCATATAATACACGATACTTTTCCGGTATGGCTTTTTTTGCATTGACTTGATACGTTACCAGTCACTCAGCGATTCTCTATAACCTCAAAACAGGCAATTATGGTGTTATTGTCGGCGTCCTCGCTGTCTACGCGCTGATCACGAACCCACTCCTGCTAATCTCACTGGGATTCCTTATCGGTGGATTTACAGCAATCAACAGATTTGGTGCGCATTGTTTTTTTTCAACTCTCGTATATTGTCCCATTCCGGCTCATCGTTGGTAAATTTCCACCATAACTTTACAGCACCCGAGCCCATGCAAGTCGGTGACCATGTTGTGACCCAAAAGTCGCTCTATACAGGGCTCTTTGTCATCGGCATTCCTCTACTGTGGTTCGCATCCCCTGTTGCCACGTTCTTCTGGTTAGTCGGTGCTTCGTCCGTCCTCATCTTAGGACATGCGTCTGTGATGGAGCCTGGCATTGAGAGCGAGTACGCGACAGTTGGAGATGCAGTCTAAAACTTTAGGAGAGGGTGAAGATGGGATAGTGGGCCGAAGAGTGAGATCAGGGATGGGTCTTAGGACTGGATGACTTCACACTAGCCCTTAGAAAGTCATTGAAGTTCCTTAATTCTCGAACTGTTCTTGTGTACAGTTCTCCGTATTTATATTCCATGAAGGAACTGACCAGAGTGGCCATCTCTGCTCGCCAGCGACTATAAATACAACTGGGTCCGGATATCATGGACGCCGCATTAGTCGATGTACAATAGTCAGCGATGCGAAAGGGATAGAAATGCAAATCGATAGCGCGATAGGATATTGAATAAGGCAGGTATTGTTCCGACAGGCGCACATTATAAAAGTGGCAGCCACTGTCCTGCAACGGAAAGATTGGCATCAACGCAAGGCTGACCTCGCAAGAGTCTCGCCTACCTATGACTAGACTGGGAAGATCCATGATGTCTCTCCTGATGGAGAAGCAAAACGTACAAGGCACCGGTGCCCCAGACGGCTTGAGAAGGACGCAGTGAGAATAAACACTCTGGGTTGTATTCTCGAAAGCATGATTGGCGAAGTTCTCCCAGTACTCCACGACGGACTGATTCTCAAACAGCTGTAGTAGATGGTATGAATGTCGAATCAGAGGGGACATATCCAAGATAACTTGCCTCATATATGTATTTACGTCGTCCAACAAGCTCTTCTTTCTCCCAGCCGGTAAGCATGTAAAATTCAGGACCAACGAGACAAATTTCCCCCGTTCTCCTCCATGCAACAGTTGGTGTACCGCTAAATGATACTAATTTGTCAAGCTCCTGCTTTAAATTGTTAGGCCAATTCAAACCATTCAGACGAAGACGTGACACTAACAATCAAGGAGCGCTGGAAGCATTTTTCAACAAAAACCTCGTCCTCCTCCGATAGTGGCATTTGAAGTGCTATGAGCGACGGCCGGAAAATCGCGAGCGCACGGACGATTCGCAAGATATCATTTTTATCAAAGCTGCAGAAAAGCTATCAGCCTTTATTGCCTCCGGACCTGGGAGAGCATAGCCATATACAGCGAGTCAATCAGAACGAAGAAAGACGCACCGAGTTGGTAGATGCTTCATCAAAAAGTGATAACCTTCTGTGTAATCGTATGGCTTCGTGACCGCCTGATACACACCCGCCCCACTTTGTGCTATGGGTGGCATACCCGACCCTACGCCCAGCGATACCTGATTTGCCCAAGCGGCACCTCTCTCCGGTCTCATAGCACCAGGTATCGATGCACCAACCGTCTGTGCGCGTTGTGGATAGGATGGGAATCGCTGGCCAGTAGAAGTTGATGGTGGGGTCGACTGAGTGCTAGTAGGGGGTGGGTAGTCAGTGTAAGAGAGTTGTGTCTGAGGAACGGTAACGGCCGGCGGGTGTCCTTGCACTTGCCCAAACTGCGATACAGGTGGGAATCCTCGGGAATCACCGGCGATGAAGTTGGGCGAAAGTGCGGACGGAGGATTGGAAGCTGAAGGCATAGCCGCGTCTGGCGGCTGGATTGCGAGGGGTGTATGTTCCTGAAAACCCGCCGACCCCGTCACATAGCCATTACCGGAAGCCGATTGGGGTGTTGCTGCATATGGATCTGTCGGCCATGTTGCTGCGACTAAATTAGCACCCGGTGTTGGTGCAGGATATGAAGATGAAGGAGCTTGTGATGCAGCTGGACTGCCAGTAGCAGCTCCAGACGCCTCAGGCGAGTTGCCCAAGATGGCGGAAAGGATGCTGTATTCAAGATTTGCGCCTTCGGAAGTCATTGAAAATGATGACACTGGATATGACGAGAACATGGGATCAGGCTGAACATATTGCGAATCCGGTTGCGCTGAAGATGAGTGGTGCAGGAAGTTCATTATCAGCAGTCAGAAGACAATATATAATAAGTGCGTTACATTGTGGGATGGGTGCAGAGTCGGCACCTTTCGATGAACCCTCTCCTGACTTGTTCCGTTTCATAGCTTCTGACGAGTGCGGTAGGTATACGATGTGAATGAAGCAGACGCAGGCGACTTACCAAGCTCTTCTTCATCAAGCAAATATTTGGCCTTTTTACGATGTCCTTCAGTGCAATTATCTGCCATACCGCGCTTAACACAACGTTGACATGGGCGTGCTGGGGGACAGCCAATGAGTGAATGAACACAAAACAGCGACGTAAGAGGCTGAACATTATGACACGCTCAGGAAATTTACAAGAAATGCACAGCCGGGTCGGAAGAAGAAAGATGTTTGAGTAAAAGGAGAGCAAACTCACAATCATCACAAGTAAGATGCGCCTTCTGACAGTGAAAACACGCTCGGTTGGCTTTCTTCTTCTTGGGGCCTTCGCGTGTCCGCGGAGGATGTGATGCCGACTCTGCACTGTCACTGGCGGCGTCCTGGGGCCGTTTTCTCTTTACGTGTAGCTTTTTCTTCGGGTCGATGTCGGGGGTGTTATGCTCTGAGGAGGAGGTGGAAGGCATATGATAAGGAGGGAGAGGCTGTTGGGTCATACTGGCCGACATGGGGGGCACATCCTCCTGCTGAGACTGAGAGGGAAGCATTTTGAAGGAGACATGGAAAGCGACAAGACCGCGACCGTGAGTGTCACAGGCAAGTCAAGCGACCGCGCATTAGACGCACTATAGCACAGGCGCCGGAGGTAAGCCTATTTTTGCAGGTCACGCTGCCCTTTGCGGCGTTAACCGGCCGGCCCATCCCCGACCGCGGTCCGCCTTGCTGCATCTGGCCTGCAAGCTCCGGCGCTCCCGGACAGACCGCGCGGCCATGTCAGGCTCGGGGCCGGCGTGCACTCTGCTCCAATCCTCACTGTGACCGGACATGATACCGGCCCCGTCCACTAGGCAACTTGTTGTGGCCCTCAAACGCTCTGTAGGTGCAAGAGCAGCCGAGCTAGAGCTCAAGTGGATGCGACAAGCCGTGGAACAACCCCCAATACCCGCCTCGCTCCATCCCACTCCAACATTCGAAGAAATGCTCGCTCGTAGGGTCGCCGGCGAACCTCTGCAATACATTCTCGGTGTGTGTGCGTCGTGGCGACGTACCAACTGCTTGACCGTATCATTGTTCGATTTTTGACAGGATCACAGCCCTTTGGCCCGCTGGATCTCATTGTGCGCCCACCCGTTCTCATTCCTCGTCCAGAGACCGAGGATTGGACTATTCGTCTCTCTGAACGGTTGCGTCCCACTAAAAGCAAACCAATATCCATTCTGGACCTCTGCACCGGCTCAGGGTGTATCGCCCTACTGCTTTGCCACCTCTTACCGCCGGGATCGGCTCACGCCACCGGCATCGACGTCGCCGAATCTGCTGTGCAATTAGCAAAAGATAATGGAGCCTTCTGTGGTATCACTGTTTTAGACAATGGACCACCGTTGTGTGCAGACTTTCCAAAGTGGGATAGTAACACATTCACGCCGCTTTTGGCAAATATTCGCGATCCTGCGTTCGTGATAGCTGCTAATTTGCGGCCACCATATGACATTCTCACTGCAAACCCGCCATACATCCCAAAGTCGCAGTACGACACTCTTCCCGGATCTGTGAAAGATTATGAGGACCCGCGCGCTCTGATCGGAGACCTAGACTCAGGCTCGGCCCAGGGACTCTCATTTTACCATATGATCGCTGCCCTGGTAGGCGACAAGTCGCGTCCCATATTAAAAAGTGACGGCATTATCGCGCTGGAAGTGGGCGATGGTCAAGCCCAAGAGGTCGCACGAATCTTGCACGAGCAAGCCCAGGTACACCATATTGAAATATGGAGAGATCCGTGGGATAAGGAACGCGTGGTAGTAGGGAGAAGCTCACCATAACTATTCAGCGTGTCTGGTATCTGCGCGGAAGAGGGATCTTTAAGTCAGCATCATTCCGCGAGCCAAGCTTAGCTTGTGCATGTCGTCGTATATTCGTTCAGTTGTCACAACGGTGATCTTTTATCAGTCCTTAATCAAATTTTAGTCGCAGCCAACATATGGCTTCGCATACAGGGAATCCTATACTCATGCCGGTAAATGTTAACTTTTCATTCATTTTCTTGGGCCCCTAGCCTTTCCTGCTTCTTCTTCTCACTGATACCTCTCTCCGTCCTGTCTAAGGAATCGACCTCCTCGCCCCGTCCATTCCAATGCAGGACACGACCCAGGTAGAGTGCAACCCATGTCAACGCTAATAACACAGGAACTTCCACAAGTGGCCCGATTGTGGCTGCGAGAGCCTGATCTGAACCAACACCGTACACTGCGATGGTTACAGCGATGGCGAGTTCCTGCACGGCGAAAACCTTGTCGATATACCTTTCATGAATGGAACACTTTAAGTAGAACTCACGAAGTTGTTACTTCCCGCAGTAAAGCTCTGGACTACTGCCATCTCATAGCTCCATTGCTTTCCCTGTCCTTGTCCTTTTGCCCTAGCCCGACGGCCTAGCCACCACACTAGCGAAAATGCCCCTGCCCACATGATGGTGAAATATAAGACAAGCGGCACCATGACACGGAAGACTTGGCCGATATTGTGCACGATGTGATGTCCTTGGTACGCGAAGAGAACTATCACTGTGTACAACAACCCGAGTGGCGCAAGCGGTGAAATCCAGGGCAGGAATCGTGTGGTGAAGAACGCTCGCGAAGTAAAGTAGAGCAACACGATGCGAGTGATTAAGCCAGCACCGAGTGGGATCCCTAGGTACTATAAAGATGGCAGTAAGCACACTTGAGCGAAATGTTCACTTCAATCAGTAATACTGACAATTAGGACAGAGATGGCGACGCTTCCATACGAGACGTGAATCGAGGCTCCCGCGCCTCCCATGTAGTTCACGAACCACACCGCATATGGTGAATACAGTGCGATTTGCAACACGCTATTCAGGACCACGAGGACTGCACAATAGTTGGTATCGCCCTGCGCAAGCTGGTTCCAAACCATGACCATAGCGATGCAGCGTGCAAGGCCGACCATGATTACACCAGTACGGTAGGTCGGAAGGTCAGGAAGTGTAGCCCACGATAGGCCAAGCATGATAAATGGCGCTATTATCCAATTGAGCACGAGTGAGAGGAGAACATGCTTGAGCATAGTGCGTGTGGGCAGGATACGTGGAAGTGCTTCGTATTGCACCTTCGTGAGGATTGGCCACATCATAACAATGAGGCCTATTGCTATAGCTGAATGCGATACAGTGAGGAGTTAATCCATAGATAACTGCATAGACTCATACGAGCGGATACGCTAGCAAATCGCGCAGTGTCAAAGGCAGGCTGGACGTTGGGAACGAATTCGCCAATGACGACACCCACGATCATCGCGACGAGAATTGCAGGTGTGAGTAGTTTGTCGGTCAAACTTAGTTTCTTAAGTAGAGCTTCATGCCGGAGAGAAACATACATCAGCATTGTTTCGCGTTAGTGAAGGTCAATGCTAACCTTTAGGTGCGTCCTTTTCCTGCACAGGACTAGGGTTGATAGCAGAGACAGTCCTGATAGCAGTTTCATCCGCATTATCTGTTTTAATCACGTCCTTGTTGTCTGGGGTGTCCATGGTTGGAGAGAGAGTAAGCTGAAGGAGAGTTTTGCGCGTCGAAATTCATTTTGACCCGTGTCTAGACGCCGATTTTGATTTTGGGCGACAAATTCATGACTACTTCCGTATCTGGTAAGTACTGCCGCTGGCGAATTCGGGTCGTGTTTTATAATTTGTACATATGCAAGTCGTAGTTCAGGCACAATGACACAGGAATATATGATCGCAATCATCCAGCGAATGTGTGCGTTTTACACAACAAAGAAATGTCCATTTTGCAAAAGAGGAAAAGCTTACCCAATTCAGCTGGCACTTTTCCGATGCTTTTCTATTGCAGGCATCCGGTTCTTTGCTGTGTCAGCATGCGTTATGATAATGCCTTATGTTCTCAGCGGCCATTATCCCTGTGTTAAGAATGACGGGCCGCGAGTCGGGGAGTCGGGCAACCCGAGTGCATCCTGGAGACCCAGCTACCGTCAGGCGGATACAGCGTAGATATTCCTAGGATAGGTAGTTAGCTGAGACGGAAGCAACATGTTTATACTTAGGACGAATCCATAGAATGCTTTCGCTGGAAGTTCTTGTTAACCCCAGTGACGGGCGAAGATCAATGGCTCTGGTGTATTTTACTAACGGCAATGCTCAGAAGTATGACGCACTTGAGTATAAATTATATACTATTGCCGCAGCGGTCAGCGCGCAGCGATACGATCTGACCGTTGCCCAAACAAATCTAGCCTGAGCGTCTTATGTGTGCTTGAAAAATGAAAACATGAGTTACCGAAACAGATCAAGTAGTACGGCTAACTGAGTCGCATTCTGTCTGTGGTTCAATTTTCACCTCATGCCAGCGCATCGAGTTGAGTGTCACGGCCGAACCACACGATTCGGCGATCTCCGCTGGCTTTGAAACTTCCCGATTCACCGCTAGAAACACGTTTCCCATGTACCGTGGCTGAACTTGAAGAACACTAAGAGGATTAACCTCAGGTTGCACAAACAACACTGAACGCCACTGAGAATGTCGAAACCCCAATCTCCTTCGAATCCGTATGCCTCTGCCACAACCAAGCTTGGTGGCGGTGGAGAAGACTTTCATAAACGGACGACCGCTCGGCTCGAGCAGATCCAGTCTCAGCTCGAGGTCACCCCACGCAAGGACCGTCTGAAAGGCAAAGTATGCATCATTACTGGTGTTGGCTCCTTGTTAGGTATAGGGTGCGTCCAGCTTTCCCAATTGCGTGAGTCTATGTTGGTCTGATGATAGGATTAAGACGCGCAACGGCGCTGCAGTTCGCGCATGAAGGTGACGCATCAAGATCTCACATTCCATTTGTTTTCTTGACGGTGAAGTGGACTAGGTGCCACTCATCTGTACCTTCTCGACCTCGACGGAACGAACCTTCCGGAGCTCAAAGCAACCATCGAGAAGCGATATCCAGATGTGAAGGTATGTTGCTGGTACGGGAAACAACCGCTGTACTTATTAATGACGTGCAGGTCACCACTCTCGCCGCCGATGCCACTAACGAATCGGCTATTGCTGGAGTGTGCAAGCAGGCTATACAAGAGGAAGGAAGATTGGACGTGTTTTTTGCTAATGTACTTTGTCAACCTTTACCCGTGCGCCCTCTGCTTACTGACGTGTTAGGCTGGCATGGCTAGCAAAGACCATCTGCGCAATATCACGAGTGAAGGCTTCATGAAGATAATGGCTGTAAACACGCTTTCGTACGTACATATATCATAACAAGATATTCTCTAACATCGTACCTATATGGTAGTTGTTTCCTGGCCATTAAGTATGCCTCGGAAATGATGATGAAGCCCAACCTATCGCGCGGAAAAGAATTTAGTGGAGGGAGTATCATTCTCACCGCCTCTGGTATGTTATTATGTTATTCATAGCGTGTCTCTTGCATTGACTGAACTTTCACAGTTGCCGGCTTACGTTCTGGCGGCGGACCTTTAGACTGTACGATGACGTCTTTCATTCCGACTTTCTGAGACTGACGACTCGTTTTCAGACAGCGCAAGCAAAGCTGCGTGAGTGCGCTAACTTAATATCCACGCCTCTCTTGTGTCTTATTCTTCTGTAGTGTCAACAATATGGCACAAACAGCTGCGTGTCAGTTGCGGATGTCTGACATACGAGTCAACTCCATTTGTCCAGGGTTGATTGAGACCGGGATGACGACCGGGGTCTTTCAATACGCGAGGTCCAAAGGTACTGGCCCTAAAATTGGCCAACTTAATCCCTTGGGTCGCTATGGCGTTTCTCAAGGTGAGGCACTTTTTCACAATTAGCACGAGGCGCTAATAGCTCTGCCATCCAGAGATAGCCAATGTAGCCTTGTTCCTTGCATCTGGTGAGCAATGAATATTGCGATGAAGCCGTAACGTAAAACAGCTGACGTTGTTGTTAGACGAATCTAGCTATGTGAATGGTCAAAACGTAGTTGCTGACGGCGGCCTTTCCAGTTCCTTCCCCGTTATTCCAGGCCGGTGGTCTTAAGGCAGTTGATCATGTATTGCTTTCATCTAGTCTGTGGAATGGATATTGCCATTTTATGCGTTCGTTGGGTATTGCCTGAGGTGGCGAGCGTCATGAGCACCGTCAATCTGGATATTGAGTAAACTCGTCCTAGAATATGGACATCATCGCCATCGAGGCATAGGAGCATTCGTAGATGCACTCAATGCACACAGAGGTGGCTCCCGCATAGGATTCAGGTAATTGCCGTACGAGTTTGGATTTGCTATCGGACATAGACCACTCATGTACATGCGCTGTATACGTGGCTTCGTTACCATTCAGGGCGAGCAACTGAGCACAAGCTGTCGTAACTCTGATTGACATGAACGGGAAAACTCTGGCGAGATATGGCTTTCCACGACGACCTCTCTCGGCTATGACATGCTCTATGAGCCTGCAACGTCAAAAGAGAGACGCACTTCATGAAATGATGCACCAGCTCCCCAAGCCTCCCAGCTTTCCCACTGATATCGTCATGCCACTCTACACCAGATTCGTGTCATCGAATAGTTCACATACGAGACAGACGGCGAGATAGTTGGTGATACGAGGAGAGAAAGCAACACAGAGGCTGATCAATGAATAATGTACGGTCCGAGGAAAGCCAACTGGGAGAGAAATGCTGGGTCTGTAGTAGGAAGAAGCAAGTCGAACATAGGGAGTGAAATAAACCATCCCGTGCATGGTAAGGCACGCGGTAGTGATAGCGGTCTGATTTGGCTCCGACCAAAGTTTTCCCATTCAAAAATAAAAGGTGCAGCTCTGGCGTCGCCCGACGGAATATATTCTATGTTTGGTCTTGTCTCCGCGTTGATGCAGCTGGGCCTTTAGTGGCACCGTGCGATACGAAGCCGTGAGCATTTATATAGTAATTGAAGAAAGGAAAATATTGGCGGCCTCACCCGTTCTCCGGATCATCGCCGTACGGTTGTCGCTGTCGAAGCGAAGAAGCCCTGGATGCCCCACTGGAATCGAACTGACTCCAACTCCTTCACGGCCGGTGCCGGCCCCTCTGTTCATGTACAGCCAGCAGGAGTGAAAAGCTACTACGATCTGCGGGAGTGAGTCTACGCAGGTCAGAACGTATATGCCTTAACGCATTGCCTGGCATTTACCGAGGTCCGAGGGGCCAGAACCCATTGAGGTATCGATCGGCGCATGCTGTGAAATTTTGGACACGTTCGCGGAGGCATCGTTCGTGGAAGCATTTCATCATTCACATGCAAGTTGCAGGTAGGATCATGAGAGAGATGAGAATGTCGGAAGATTGATTGCATTTCCAGCGTTTGTAGGAGGACTTCATGTTTGATTGATTTCACTATGTTACTAGAATTATCAGTGGGAGGTAAGTAGCCATGCTGTCCTATTTTCTCATGGCTGACATCTGTGCAACATGTGGAGGACAAGAAGGATAGCAAGCTCTGTCTGACATCTTCCATTCTCATGGTACGTGCACAGATGCTTCCTTGCACCCATGGGAGCACCAGAGCACGGTCCATGAGAAAGAAGACAATCAGACCGGGTTACGGCCTTTGTCTTCCTTCCAGGACAACGAAAAAACGACGTAAAACACCAAATGAAAGTGCGACCAGTGGCCCACTTGAATGATACCAGATGAGAATGGACCCAGAATGAGTTTCCTAGCATTCAAATCTTTATATGCATTCTATGCCAGCTGCGCGTCGTCAACCACAACCTACGCCACGCAGAAAATAACGATCCGCAGTGAGCAACGATTTGGAAGCGCACCGAGGCTGATTCTTCCGCCGGTCATCATAAGGGATATATGCATCGCTTGTGGCGAGTGGATGGCAAGAACCTGCAACAGGAGAATGAGACTATCGAGACAAGTGGAGCAATCTGGGGAATGATGTTGGTTTTCGAGAGGCTCCCTTTATACATTTGGGACACCGTTCCGGATCAGCCCCGACGTGAATCTCAGCGAGGATAAGCTGCAATGACTCTGAGTCCTAAATGGAAGAATAGACGGTAAGCTCTTCACTCAATTGCGCTCTGCAGCAGTGAAACCATGCCGTTCAATCAGGTCTAGCACTTCCGCCGTGAAGTTCATTCGATCCGCTACCCGTACTCACGACGGATAATTACAAACCTTCGGACGATCGCCTCTGTAATTTGCCGCAAACTACGGCTCGACGAATAATTTTGACTCAGATGATCCGGATCTTACTGAGATCAAAATTGACTCCGCATCTACCCCGACAGCAAAATCGAATACGCGATCAACACCTCCCCTTTCATGTCTTCCCTAATGCCAAACGCACCTATTACTTCCGCGCCAGCTTCGAAAGCGAAGCGTGCTGATCATAGGCTCTGCGCAACTACGGCCGACTATCATGATCAACTCGCCTTTCTCAGACTTGGAATTCTCCTTCTATCGCTCGGATTCCTGCAACCGCTAGCAACATGTCAATGATCAACTTTCGTACCGGCCAACAGTTGTCTTCTCGCGGTTCCCATACGGTTATATGGTTATTACTCCACTCGCGGTGCAACAACGCCTGTGCCACGCCCCAATGTTTCGTATAGCAAGTCGGAAGTGGTGCTATGAATAAGCCCTGCAATACGGAGGACAGCCTGGAGACATGCACATTCTGGCAGGCGCTGGCCTCACGGAGGTGCAAACTCATTAATGTTTGCTCCCTTTACAATCCCCTATGCTCCCTTGGTCATGCGCCGTCGTTGTCATACTGCTGGGGAGCGGGCTCACGCTCCTTGGCCACATGTTCGAGGCAATAATTCCCGCCGACTCCTTTCTCCTTGAATCCATGTTGGGAAATTTGTCAACTCTACGGGGAAACCCGCAACCGCTACTTTCCGTTCAATCTGCTTACTGAATAAACTAATGTCTGGTGATCATCAATGGTCCGCATCTGCAGGAAAGTTATCAAGTCATAAGACTGAGGCTCCAGAGTTCACCATCTATCTCCGCGCAGACCGCCACAGGACTCATGCTTTGCTGCACTCTTTCCCCCAGACACGCTGTGATGCCGAGCTGCCCTTCGGAATACATTCGCTTGATCTGCGAGATGTGTCATGGCTCATGTAATGGCTTCCCGTTTGTAAGGATGTTTGTGACCCCTTTCTATGCTTGACATATTCTTTCACGCTCAGGCTGCGCAGTGACGAGTGTGTTCTAAAATATCGTCCATTGCTACTAGTACACGCTGCTAGCTCAGAGAGTGCTCGATCACGTGTGGACGATTCATCGGTGTGTTGGATTCTCTTCGTTTTTGGACAGCGGGGCTGACATTGCGGCTGAGCTGGCGGTGCGAGAAGAGTCGTCTTGATTCCAAGTCCCTGTCGGTCATCGTCCTACTCCAACTTCCCTTTTCTTCACATCATGGCGCCCACTCCTGCTCCCAAACGAATCTGTATCGTCGGTGCTGGCGCATCTGGCATGTCTGCGGCCTATGCTCTCAGCCGTCATCCCGACAGATACGAAGTCACGATCTACGACAAACAGAACACGACGGGTGGGATGGCAACTTCCGTCGACATCGACGTCGACAAATATGGGGCATCATATATCAATGACGGCGTCCAAGGATGCAGTCCTGTCTTCGCAAATACCATACGGATGTTTAGAATGCTGGGCTTTGAGGCCACAGAGGTTGAGATGCAGTGAGGACCATGCGTGCTTTCGATACATTAATGGAGTGCTGGTGCTGATGCGCCACAGGATTAGTTTCGGAAAGGGTAAAGACTTTTGGACGAATGTGTACCCCACGTCACTCGTAGCCCAATTCCAAGGTGATATTGCGAGGTTCGGCCATGTCCTTACGACTATCAAGAGATTCGAGCCCGTCTTCGCGATGATCCCCGTTCATGTTATGCTCAAGATGTTCCGGTTCTCCAAGGACTTCGGCGAGAAAATGGTCTATCCTCTTGTAGCCCTGTTCTTTGGTACGGGTAATCAAACACCATATATTTCTAGCGCCATTCTGGTTTGTTTTGTTTTGCTTCGCGCTGTGAAGTCTGATCACTGGCTAACTAGTGGAAAGGAACGAGTATTCAAAGATCCCAGTATGCGTCTTTTCGAATATTCTGAGAAGAGTCTTCTTGCCAGCATACCTACTATGCTCGCATTTCCCAAGGTTGGATAATTCGGTGCTCTGTGTCGTCATAGGTTTGACGACGTGTTACAACATACACAGCTGCATGATGTTTATCAAGCCTGGAAGGACGAGATTGTTTCTCGTGGTAACGTCACTTTCAAGCTCAATCATGAAGTACTCGAAGTTGTCTCTCGTCACACAAGTCGTGCCTCCCCATCCGGTCCAGTGCATATCAAATACAAATCCGCTTATCAAGGACTTGAAAGTTCGTCACAGGAGGCATTTTTTGACGAGCTTATTCTTGCCATCGACGCGGATTCTTGTCTGCAATTGCTTGGAAAAGAGGCAACTTGGCTAGAAAACAGAATTTTGGGCAATGTGAAGTATCTCTATGACGTGACGATCACCCACAACGACCTCGAGTATATGCAGAAGGTTCGTCGAGACCTGATTTAATTGTACATCACGAGCTTACTTTACGTCCTTGCTTGACAGTATTACGAAACGCAGTATGATTCCTCACACAATGCTCCTCCTGAAGAGAATGCTTCAGCTCAAGAGCGTCGTGAGACTGAAGACACGTTTACATTTGCAAGAGACAGCTTCCGCCCCTTGTACTACACTATGCAATACCCACAAGATAAATCCAAGATCGAAATGAGTTTCGACCTGACGCATTATCAGCCACAATTTAGAGGCGAAAAGCCAGCAGGTCCGATTGATCCCTCGGACACGTCATCGCACAGGAACGAATGCAAATCGACAGACGTGACACGTGCTGCTCAGGACTCCAGCAAGTCGATTGGCAACTCTGTTCGCGTCGGGCACGATGCTAGCGGTCGTCCCGAACCTCCATTGGAGAGGCATGTCTTTCAGACCATTTTCTTGGACCGCGACGGATCTCAGGATCTGTGGACATGGAAAGATATCAAACCGGGGAAGAAGATCTACGAGAAATGGTGGAAGCAGCAGAGTCATCGCTGGCAGCATTATGCGGGCACAGTTCCCTGGATGATGTGGATCAATGGCAGGAACAAAACATTGTGAGTTAACACATTTATCCGATGCGCCCGCAATTCGCGGACTCATTTCACTCGCCTCACCAGTTACGCCGGCGCTTGGTCAGGTATGTCTTGCGACGTAAATACAGGAGTCAATCGTATGTATATTGACTACTTATGCATCAGTGCTGAACATGCACGAGCTGGCCGTTACGTCTGGCTTCGCAGCTGCGTATCGTCTCGGAGCCGAATACCCATTTCACGGCGACGAAGACTGCGAAAGATTATTCAGGATGTATCTCGCTACTAGCCACGGGGTCAGAATGGTCAGGCTATTTTAGTAAACTTCTGTCCGCGCGCTGACAAGTAACACGACAGAGGAAGGCGGACAGGTCAGGTCTTTTGGCATGATGGTTAAATCAATTATGCTGCTCGGTCTTCAATACAGTAGCGGGGCATGCAGAAGGCGGCCTGCTTTCATTCACGTTTATCAATTGAGTAGAAAGTGGCAGGATCACACGTTCAACATACGGTTAGCATCAGTAATACACAACCAAGTAATGTGCTTAATAATTATGATATATAAGGTGACCGTCATGGAAGAGATTCTTTGTCTGGACTTCGGAGGTACTTCATGATTCTGGGACGGACAACATAGCTTTCCCATCAGAGTTTGCGCAGTGCATGATGCGTGCATGTTAGCTCCTAGGGAGATGTCATTCGGGATAGCTTGTCAATTTGCGACTCGAGACATGCCTATACCAAAGCGAGCTAATCAACTGTCATAGTACTAATTGGCATCGCGACGTCAGACCAGCTCAGAGTTGAACAAAATCATCACAACTTCATCTACTTGGAGCCTCATTCAAAAGAGAGAACGGCCGCCGGCTCACACTACACACGCACTGACGATGGTGTTAAGAGCTTGATCAAGCAATCCGTTTCTTGCGCTGAGTTCCTTCATGCCGAACCTAGGATTACAGTATCCTTGACGTCACGAGTGACTTTGCAATATTTGATCAATGCATGTATTTGACTTGAGTGTAAGATACAAGCATCATGAATACCACGTAGCCAAGAACACATCGGCAGTGCTGTGATTTTTGTCCCAGATGATAGGAAAATCCGGATATTGCCAACCCCAAAGGATTTCATGAAAGTTGGACGAGCTTGATCTCTGCGTGCGGATAAGTCCGTTATGACACCCACGGCCGAGTCGGTAGCGGACATACCGAAGATCAGGGTCGAATTTGCGGGTATCTTGTCCATCTTCTTCTTCCCATAGCCCATACCGGGAGGGATGGTGAGTAGCCTCTCTCCACCGGGTTGCATGCCGACTATACCAACGTCCCAGCCTGGCCAAGAACCCAACAAACTTAGGTGAAAACGAAGACCATAACATTGCATGAATTGCTCTTACCTTTGATGACCTCACCCTTACCCAAGCGGAACTTGAACTAGCTATATGATGAGCACTTTCCTCAAAGCATGCAGCAAACACGTACAGGTTCTCCCTTCATATTCTTATCGAAGACAGTACCATTGGGAAGCTTGCCAACGTATCGCATATGCGCCATATCTCCGACCTTTGCTTTAGGACCCTTGCCAATCTTATGATCAACGACCTTGACCCCGCCTGCCAATACGATTTCTTTCTTTTCTTTATCCTTTTTATCCTTCTTGTCTTCCTTCTGTGATTTGGCTTCCTTCGACGCTTCATCCTTCCCTTTCGCATCCTTGGCTTGACTATCTGATTTCGCTAGAGTGCTTTTCTCGTCTCCGACAGGAACCGCTTTCCCATCCTGGCCCTTCTGCTTCTTCTTTTTCGCTTTCTGAGATTTCGGGGTCTCGTCTGCACCTTTTGCATCAGACTCGCGAGGACGTTTCTTCCCTGCGTCACCCTTGGAAGACAACTCTACATCATCAGGAAGTTCCTCAAATCGTCTAGATGCATGCTTGTAAGTAGCAATACAATCAACTTTGAGACAATGGACCTACCCTTCATCGTCGCTAGGAATGTCCATTTCGTTCGGGTCGATTTCCACATCGGAACTGACGTCACGCAGATCGAAGTCCTCCTCATCGGAGTCTTCGTCTGATTCATCATTGTATGGAACTTGATCCGGGGGTGTCTGATCTATTTTCCAGAGTTAGAAACACATCTAGCAAACATGCCATGGGCGCACATATCGCCTTCAACTGGCAAACCATGGTGCGCACAACAGTCTTCCGTCACTCACCAATATAATTCCCGACCAGGTGAACAGTGCTGACAAAATATGAGTATACTCTGATAGACACATGATATGACCGCATACTTTTTCCCCACAACCTCGATCAAATATTCTTGGTCACCCTCAAGGACTACATCTACCATAGCCTGCTCTATCTGTGAAAAAGTTAGGTCCAGAACATCCGTACGCGGAATCGAGACACTGTTACCTTGCCAGGAGTGAGGGAACACAGGGCAACATGCTCGAGTTCGTGTTCATCGTCATCCTCTTCGTCCTTTTCGTCGTCCTCCTCGTCGCTCGAGTCTTCGGCGGTAATTTTACGATAGATGAGCCGCACAGTCGTCCTGCCCGATTCGTCTTCGAGCTTGTCCCCGAGTGCAATGTTCGTGATTCGAAGGTCACTCTGAGGCAAGAGCTCAGCAGGATTACCAGGTTTCACAATAGTACTCCTGCATACACAAAACTTAAGTCATGGTATCCCTGATGAACCATTTTACACATACCAAACAGCAATAGCGACAGCCATTTTCCCCGTCTGTCCGGCCTATACAAGAGGAATTAAAAAGTCTTTAGCGCGCAAACGCGCCCGCTTAAATGAGAAGCACACGTGCCCTCTGGCGCTTCAATAGGGATAGGGCCTATAGACTACACCGGCTTTCGAGTTCAAATAGCTTACTAGTCTCTGTGCATCGTGAGTAACTATGGTGAGTCCCCAAGTAATTGCTAAAATTGTGTGGCTGGCTGGCTCAGTCTATATGCCTCTGTATAGTCAAACACACTTCGACCGTACCTTGCCGCTGTGCGATCAACGTTAACTGCCGCACTGACTCTGGAAGACTTCGCATCTCAGGTATTTGTCCACTCTTGGTCAAGTGGTGTACTTAAATATTCATCATATCGATCAGGTCGTAGAACGTCACAACAAACCAGAAGTAGAGGTGGGGTAAGAGCTTTGTGAGCTTCGTGAAAGTATCCCCGTTGACTTGAGGCAGACAATCGAAGGAGGTGCTGCTGAACCCGCTTACAATCTCCCGGAACGAAAACGAGCGCGTCCTGATTGAAGCATCCGTCAACTCGATTCGACTCAGCATCAAGATCAAGCAGGCAGACGAGATTGAGCGTATACTATGTCATAAGTTCACCCGATTCATGATGCAGAGAGCGGAGAGCTTTGTAGTGTTGCGGAGAAAGCCTGTCAAGGTACGCCTTTCGCTGGATGTCTTCGTAAGTATTTTTCGAATAATATCTAACCATGTCACAGGGCTATGATATCTCGTTTCTCATTACCAATAATCATACCGACATGATGCTGAAACACAAGATTGTGGACTTCATAATCCAGTTGCGTTATTTGTGTTTGTGACAAGTTAATAGTGTTGTTAAGCATTGCACCACAGATTTATGGAAGAAGTCGACAAGGAGATTAGTGAGATGAAGCTTAGTTTGAATGCCCGGGCTCGTGTAGTTGCGGAGTCCTATCTCACAGCGGTAGGTCAAACCTCTTTATTTTCTCAGGGAAGGATTGATCTCGAGATCTTGCGTACAGTTTAATTCATGAGACATCTGTGAGGGATGTTGGGCGTACATATTGGAACCACCGAGTTGTACTTACAGCCGGCGTCAGAGTTACGCGTAGCCAGTGCTGGTGAAGATCCATGTATTATTTATCGAAGAATACAGAACGATGTATGACACTCGCCCTTGAGTATTGCCAGAGTTACCATTAGTGTTCAATCATCCAACTCACTAGACATAGAGTATCTACCTGAAGTCATGACTACATATATGGATTGCCATCGGTATGACGTACGTGGCCGTAGGCCTGATACTTGGTGTCGCACGTGTAGCATAAACCTCTCCTCACGTCCACAAAACCCTCTTGACCGACTTCCATGATGATGCTGGACATTCGAATAGCGGCTTTTGCTATTCTCAGTGCTGTTGTGTTCTTTGGCACGACGTACTCGGTAACTAACAGCACGTTCCTCGACACGTCCAATCCGCTTCTCACTCATCTCCCGCACCCACTCCATGCCACGCACTATTTTGCATCCAAGGCGAACCCACTAAACGTTTACTTCATCAAACGCGTTTGGGGGTGGACTTCACTAGCGTTCCTCGCTCATTTCTTCACCAGCCCGCGCGCTGCACGAACATCCGAACGCGTATACCAGTATCTCGCCGCGACCGCGGTCTGGCTGGCCTTTGCCAGTTGGTTTTTTGGTCCATCCTTGATTGACCGTCTGGTGGCGTCCACTGGCGGCGAATGCGTGCTCAACCTCCCCTCGGGCGCAATCGTCACCCTGCCGAACGAGTACTGCTTCACGAAGTCCAGCATTTCCATCTCCACGCATTCAAGTCTATTTCCTGCGTCGCTCATTATTCCTGAGGATAGTTGGAAGGGCAGGCCCAGACTACGCCGAGGGCACGATGTATCGGGGCATATTTTTCTCCTTGCCATGTCCATCCTCTTTCTCGTGGACCAGCTTCGGTTCTCTTTCACAACGTTGTCAGCTACTGGCCGCTCGCAGGTGTGGTCGAGAGCGCATAGATGGGCCGTTGCGGTGACGGCCTTCGTCATTAGCTTAGCAATGTTCGCATCCTATACGACAAGCGTGTACTTCCACACACCTATCGAAAAATTCACGGGCTACGGTGCGTGTCTCATTGAGTAATTGGCCAATTTAATGCAGACTTATATTCCTTCCTCTATAGTACTGGGAGTCGGTGGATTCGCTATCACTCAACTCCCAGTATTTCGACCCGCTCCTGAAGTGCGTGTGACTGCGCTCAGCGAATTTGCTGCCGTGCAGAATGACCAGGGCTTTAAGAAAGAGGCTTGAAGCAACCTCTTTCTCGCTACCTTAGTGTAGTTTCGAACCACCCAGTAACGACGAGTTACGACAACTAATACCCATTGTAAGTTACTGTGCCTTGCAGTGTACTCTACCTATCGGACACTAAATGTCGTAATGAAGTATCAATTATCACACTACTTTGCTGAAGCCCATTCTGAACCAGACTCGATTCAAATTTCAAATTCTATCAGCATCATCTCTCGTGATCACAACAAACCCACACAACATGCCCGCAAATCTCGTCCACTGAATACATTTTGACTACATGTGCAATTTGGCATTGATACATTTACTCAGAGAGCCAGTCAAGAAATTGAGGAGTGAAATATGTCAAGATCAAGGTGCAGCCTGTCCCCGAAATATAAGCCGGGCCATACGCTATACAGATATCGACACTCACCTGCGCGGACCATACTTTCAACGCTCTCGAAGGCCATTGTACGGAGATCATATACGCCTGCACGTGCACCGGCGACGACCATGGCATACTCGCCACTCACCTGGTAGCAGGCGAGTGGGTGGTCAGGCGCGAGTTGCGCAGCATCTTGAATTATATCAAGGTAGGGCATGGCAGGCTTCACCATGACAATGTCTGCGCCTTCAGCAACGTCGCGTTGCTGCAGAAACAGTATTTACAGATATATGCGAGACAGCAGACATGAACGGACGTACAATTGCCCGTCGAGCCAGTCCCTTTGCTTGGGGAGGGAGCTGGTAGCATTTGCGATCACCAAATGCGGGTGCGCTGCCCGCCGCGTCTCTATCACCCAATGTTATTAAAAATCTGACTGTGTGTAGGAAATGCGACGCTTACCGGAATGGACCATACAACGCACTAGCAAACTTGGCCGAGTAACTCATTAGGGTACATTGGTTCCCGTACCCTGCGTCGATCAACGCTCGTTTGATCGACTTAATGCGGCCGTCCATCATGTCGCTGGGTGCAACACAGTGGGCACCTGCTTTAGCGTAAGCGAGGGCCACCTCCGCGATGCGAGCGGCGGATGGTTCTTGGTCAATGGAACCATCCAAGCGGAACACGCCGCAGTGACCATGGGAGGTGTATTCGCAGAGGCAGACATCACATGCAATGTAGAGTGAGGGGAAGAGGGTGCGTAGCTTCTTGATCGCAAGGATAACAGGGCCAGAGGGGTCGTCGGCAGGGGTACCGCGATCGTCCTGTTCAATACATGCGTATATATATCGTAATTTGCTTCAACGGAGATTTTGAACTACGTACTTTAACACAATTCAAAGGAACACCGAATAGAATGACACTCTGCAATCCTTTCTGTACAAGGGGCCCGATGAAGCCTTCCAGCTTATTCACGCCCCATCTAGCCTGTCCGGGGAGGCTTGGAATCTCCACATATGCATCAGGATCGTCAGTAATGAAGATTGGATACATAAGCATGGATTTTGTAATGTGCCGTCTGGCCTGCCAGGAACGCGAGAGCGGATGTTGGTAGCCGCCCTGAAGGATAGACCTAGATATATGCCGGCCACGATGTGGCGATTAGACGAAAAAGTATCGACAGTGCATCCATTTACTAACGCAATGTCCATGCTGGCCATGGATGCAATGAGCTATGGCTACTGTGCTGGAAAACAGATGAAGACAAATGTGCAGCTGCGAAAAATGAGAAATTGGACGCGGGGTCACAGCATTACTGGCAATTTGATGAAGTCAGGTGCAAGCAGTCACGCGCATGCGCCTGAGAGTCAGATCGATCGCGGCGGGGCGCCTCCGAAGGCACTTAGTCGGGACAGGCCAAGTCGGGAGATCGGGCTCGGGAGAGCAGTGTCGTGGCAATCCACAGAAACAATGCACTTCATGCATCCAATGTTGTAAAAAGCTTTTCAATTCAGGATCTCTGCTTTCATTTTTCGGACTTGTCTTAGGTGCATACACTATGCTCAGGTGTAGTACGTACGTGGAGTCATGACAAAGGTCCTCAAGGAGACAATGGAACAACAGAACCGCTGAGAGCTTCGAAGTTCGAACAGGATAAATTTGAGCTTAAGGGGTCGCGAGCTCTGTACGGGAAAGTAAGACTGAGACAAAACAATTCAAAGTTATATTAGCTGAGGTGACGCGGGTTCCTTTGTCGCCGGGTTGGTTATGTGTTTCGACGGCGCCTAGGCCAAACACGGCAATGAACGTCGGGGTGGCTGCACGGAGGCTTTCTCGCCGGTGCGGGTAGCGACGTGGCACCGGCACGCCACAGTCGGCGTTATGTCGGAGTCTATCTGAATGGCAAATTGTGGCGCCACGGCTAATTATACCGCGGCAGGTACGGTCACATGACTATGTTGATCACAGTTCGCACGCGCGTGTTGGGCCCCAGAAAGGACTGCACCCAAAATACACGACGCAACCGCCCACTCGAATATCCCCCAATATCCCCTAAATTTCTCCAACATTATCTTTCGCTCTTTCTTTCGCTGACGACTGCAACGACGACTGCTTGCATACGGGCCCGATTCTTTGCGGCAACGTGGATCTTGACTGAAATTTATTGACTCATACGACAACTGCGCTACCTATTGCTTCCTTTGTCGACCAACTGCTATGCTTGCTTCGACCCCCAACCGCGAATATGTGTCCTTCCGAGCAACAAAACGCGATCATAGCGTGTCTCCGTCTTGTCGTACATCGTTCGGCCTACAGACACCGCCGCGTTTCCCGACGACCTCCCTATCGCCCATGTTCACACCTCCCCTCAGGCGACACGATCCCCCTTCTGCCGAACCAATGGACATGGACGACGTGTTCTCGTCCCCGCCATGTCCTACATCGTATACGTACAAGTCGCCCAAGACTCGTTCAACGCATCTTCGACTACATGCAGATATTGATAATGACGAAGAAGACGGTAACAGTTCCCTCCTCGCGCCCTCTTCATCATTCTCGCTCTCACGTAGTCTTGTGCCGCCAACGTCACCTTTTCCGCCTCGCACGCCTCTTCGTACGCCGGTCAGACAATCTTCTCGGTTACTCGGAACGCCAGATCGTCCTGCACTCTCTGTGAAGCCTCTCAATTTCTTGGCCCCAAGTTCTTCCAGTCATGCGGCGGGTGTCAAGCGCAAACCTGCGCCGAATACTTGCGTTACCCCATCCCGAGACCGCACGCTTACCCCCCTCACGGTGACATCTGCAGCGACACGACGCCAGGATGACTCTTCGGCTGTAAGTTTTGATCGACTGGCACCTCTCCCTGCTCCACGATTCAACATTCGCACACCGCAGACTGGGGTGGAAGCAGAGCTTCATTTAAAAAAGCAAGCAGAGACTATGACCATGCTGAAGATTTCTGACATGCATTGCTCGGATGAGAGTGGGTATGATACGGGCCCAGACAGCAGAGGGGTCGACGATCAAGGTCAAATGTCTTTGTTTGAAACCGTAGACCCCCCTGCGGTGCCTTCAACTGTCATGAAGGCCAAACGATCAGCTAGGGCAGTGCCAAAGACCCCGGCGCTCGAGGTATTTATTCGAAAGGGCCAAGTAAACAATGAGGAAGTAGCTGAGGCAATCTCACCTGGTGGGCACATTACGAAAAGGCGTGCTCGTTCGCGGCCAGTCTCAGCGGAATTACTCGAGTCAGCACAAAGTACTCCCGCTGAATTTGAAAATAAGGTATGCCATTGTTCTCGCAGCGGCCACAGTGGCGGCCACACCGATGTTGATGTTGATGTTGATGTGCCACAGGCCAAAGCGATACCTCGCATTCATGAGAGTAAAAGCGCAAGCTCTGTTGCTTTCCCCTCTGTTCGTGCCCGCCGTACCTCAGGTTCCAGTACGTCATCTGAGACTGGTTCTCCGATCCCTCGTCAACGCCTGCCACCTGGTCCCGTGCAACGCATTCGGACGCAGTCGCACGCTTCTCAAGGAAGGATGCCTCTGAGCAGAGTTACCAGTTCCGGGTCGGCGACGATGTTCTTTGGCCCCAGCATTCCAAATAACAAGAAATCTACTAACAAAGCGTCGCCGAGATCTACCCTCAACACGAGCAGTGGCCCTTCACGAGGAACTGTGAACGCTGCCACACGTCAGACTCCCGAGCGTGGCCTTGACCAGCGGTCACGCATCTCAAATCGACATAGCTATGCGGCACAAAACACTTCGTCACCATTGTGGGAATGGGCGGATCGTGCCTTGTCGTCTCCCCTCTCTTCTCCGAACTCACGCAAGCGCCTGGAAGACTCATCCGATGATGAAGACTTCTTTTTCGGTGGTCCTCCGGATACGTCTTTCGCATTTAGTCTTACTCAAGGCACGCCGAGTCCCAAGAAGAAGCAAAAGCGAGACACGCCATCACCGCTCCCGAAGAAGTTCCGCCCACGAGATTCGGGTATCGCGCTGGATTCTAGTGATGATGATAGTGGCTTGAATCTTTTCAAACGCGGGGATTTGTTCATGCCACCTATGCCTCGCGCCTCAACTTCTGTCAGCACAGTTAATTCGGAAGAAGATAGGGCGCTTGTAACTCCGGTCTTCGCTCCCAGTCCTGCTTCAGGGTGGCCGAGTGTGAATGTCCATCTTTCCAGTGATGATTTCGAGGACAGTGCAGCGGCTTTCATCATCCGTACCCTACAGGCCGGTGCGGCCAAGACCACACAAGTTGATGAACAGAAGAGAGTGCCGGGCACGCCCGTGAAAAAGGTGAAGACAGCATACCTTGCAGAGCGCCCATGGCAGAGCGCGGTCGCCTCCAGGATTGGGTTTCCGGGTTTTGATGATGACTTGCCACCCGAAGGCGGGAAGAAGGCGAAGGGCAAGCCGCGCAAGAGTTTACCTGCTGCATTCCCTTTGCTTGGTAAAGAGAACCGTGCCGCCGGGAAAGGCCTAGGAAAAGGAGGACTGGGAAAGCTGGCGATGGATGCTGATATCGACGGAGAGGACGAGGACACCAGCCCCATTGCGAGGAAAAACCAGAAGTACGAGGGTCTTGGGCTCGGCCGACCTGTCGGTGCACCGCCTGCATTTGCTCGGCCCAGTGGGGATGAGAAGAGCGCGAAGACACATTGGCTCATGCGTCGAAGCAGCAGTGGCGCGTTTTCAAGCGGTGGCGAGACTGCTGGTTCTAATGCAGTCACGCCTACACGCAATTCTGTAAGGGGTATGTGTCATAGCAATGTTTTCGGAGTCTAAATACTGACAGACTTGAATAGAGTGGGGACTTCCACCCCCGCGCATCCCTGTCCCAATATCCCCGCTCAAGAATGTCGTAGATGTTTCTGGAGACCGCCTCTCGCCGGGCTCTACATCATCCGCGTCCACCGCCCTAAATTCGCCGACTATTGATGCATCTATTCGTCACTTCAGACATGGTGCTTCGGCACACCCTCAGCCTACGCCCGTACGTCCTCCAATCTTTGTCCGCCCACAGACGCATGCGCACCCGGCGCGCTTGCCTCTCGGGCATACGTCCCCTCCTCGCGTAGGAATGCGCGGGCGGCTCTCACTGCCCACGGGTGAGGAGCGGCCAGGCCGTTTCGGCCGCGACTTTGTTGAGGTCGACGAACTCGGTACGGGAGAGTTCGGTCGCGTGATGAAGGTGCGATACAAAGAGGGCGTTCCTGTCATACGTGGAAAGGAGGGCGAGTACTACGCTGTGAAGAAGTCCAAGCGGTTCGAGGGCGCAAAGCATCGGTGAGTTTCGACGCTTGTCGATGTCGGTGGTACATGAGCTGATGCTGCCACTGGAACTATTTTTCAGATTGCGCCTACGGGAGGAAGTGGATATCCTCGCCCATCTCTCCGCGCGCGGTGGGCATGCAAACGTCCTCGCGCACATTGACAGCTGGGAGGAAGAGGAGACGCTGTACATCCGTACGGAGCTGTGCTCGCTAGGCAACTTTGCTCACTTCCTGACCGCATATGGGCGTGCGTATCCCAAGCTCGACGAGGGGCGTGTGTGGCGGGTTTTGGCCGAGCTGAGCGGTGTAAGTTTGTTTTTCCTCTCATGGGCGTCTAAGGGCTGACGAAAAATATAGGGCCTGCATTTCATTCATGATGCTGGTGTGATCCATCTAGACCTGAAGCCTGCAAATATCTTCATCACCAACTCGGGCCGTCTTAGAATTGGTGATTTCGGGATGGCTTCGCTTTGGCCGAGGCCGGCGCCGCTTAGCGAGTCCCTCGGGGGCTCTGCGTTCGAACGAGAGGGCGACAAGCTCTACTTGGCGCCAGAGGTGTTGCAAGGACGTTATGGAAAGGCTGCAGACGTGTTCAGCCTGGGTATGACGATGCTCGAGACAGCCACTAACGTCGTTGTCCCGGACCAGTGAGTTCTAGCATTGGATTTCTGCGATAGCGTCTAACTCTTTGGCTTTCAGGGGCGAGTCGTGGCATCGTCTTCGGCGAGAAGACTTTTCACAGGTCGACTCGGGTCTAGCTTCTCTCAGTGCAGACTTACGCCAGCTGCTCCGCAGCATGATGCGCACCGAGCCCGCTCAGCGCGCCCACATCGGCCTGGTCGCGACCAACCCCGTCGTGTTGCGCGCACGAGCAGCGATGGAGGGCGTGCGCGCAGCCGAGGGCGACGTCTTCGCCGCGAGCCCGCTCGGTGCGGGCGGGAAAGAGTTTCTCGAGGATATCCTCCACCGCGGTGGATGGGATTCAGACGAGATGGATCTGCGGCTGTGAATATTGGGAGCTATCGACTGAGTATCTATCTGTAAGTCCGGATCTCGGATATCTGCGTGACTATGTTGGTTTTGTGTTTCTGCTGTTTCTTGATTGCCTCCCCCCCACCCACTGTCTGCCAGTCGGTCTAACGGCTTGGCTGTGGCTGGGCGATCTTGATTCGTCTTGTCTTGTCTATGGATGGCCTATTTCATGTTCCATTTCTACTTTCATGTGGGCCGGCTTCGGTCCTGTTCTGTTTGATTATATATACCTATGTACCAGTTTACCCCCGTCTTGCGTATGTCCTTTTTTGCGTTGTGTCTTGCATCCTACCCCGGTCGTCCCCCGATTTCCGCAGCCTCCCGCCGCCGTCACGCGCACTCCCTCGCTCTGTATTCACCGTGCACGCGCGCCCATCCCCCTCACCCCCACCTCATGTTCGTTGTTCATTCTTCCTCATGACATTCACTGTATTATTCACGCTCGGTCCATCCGGCTGGTACACTAATGACTTTTTGTCTTGCATCGCACATCACGCTTCACACATTAGGTAGAGTACATATGACACATCTAGCATCTGTTTGTTCATGGAATCGATCAATTGCTCGCGCTGGGCCTCTGAATGGACGTCGGTGCGCGGATCGCGATATGATTGCCTAGTAGTAGCGTGTGTGTCTAGAACACCTGCGCAGGGCCGGGCACTCCGCGTCTGAGCGCGCCCGCGCACACTAGCTGTATTCGAGCTGCACGATGCCGGGACGCGTTTGCTTCGTGGAAACGAAGTTCCCTCGTTAGCGGGAGCCAGCACGCTGTTGGTCTAGCTGAAATCAGATTGCCGATTATGATGTGGTCTGTGTCTGGCACATCAAATGGAGCGCGAGGCCTCGAGTAAGTACAGCCCACCCAGTTGGTCTCGCGCCTAACAGCTGGCGACTGCGACCATGTCCCCATCACGCACTGCTACATATCGGCAGGAACGCGGGTGTGAGTGCGGGTGCGACCGTCGCACAGCCGACGGACACACTTCCGGTTCGGCGACAACGCGCGGTGCGCACATCCTCGCAAACGCTCCTCCCACCGGCCTCGCCCCCGGGCCCCAGCGCCACCAGCCGCACAGCCCCCGACGCAGTCGCCCTGGCGCGTCCCGTCGAACGGAAGCCGGCCACGGGCATCGCCCCGCGCCTCCTGCGCCACCGCACGACACCGACACACGACGCACGGACACGCACG